CCTCCTCACCTCGCACCCTCCTCCTCTCCCACAACCCTCCTCTCTCTCACCCCACCCTCACTCTCCCTCACCCCTCCCCCGCCGACTCCTCCTCCTTCGCACCCTCCTCCTCTCCCCACACCCTCTCCTCTCTCTCTCACCCACCGCTCCTCTACCTCACCTCACCCCGGCGACCCTCCTCACCCCGCACCCTCCTCCTCAGCCCACCTCCTCCTCCTCACCCCACCCCGCCGACCTCCCCCCACCCCGCCGACGCCACCTCTCACCCAAAACGCCAACGCAAACACGCCTGAGCGTTTAGCCGGGTAAATGCATCGAGCGACTTGTGTTCAACATGTAAAGAAGGGCGGTAGGCATGCAGCAGCAGCACAGCAGACTGCAGTAGCAGTAAGTAGTAGCTGCGCACCTAGATATATGCACACGGCGGAATGCTGATGTGTGATGGGAGATAAAACACAGGCGGAAGTTAGTGCGAGCGGCTAGTGTAGTGACGAATAGTAAGTAGCCGACCCCCCACCCAACCCCCCACCACGAGACAAGCAGCAGCAGCATATAGTAGTAGTAAGTAGTAGCAGCAGCAACAGGCACCACCACCACGCAGCCACCAGTAGCAGCAGTAGCCAGTCAGTAGGGGCAGCAGAGATAGTAGTAGTAGAAAAAAAAAAAATAAATAAAAAAATAAAAAAAAAAAAAAAATAGCAGCTAGTAGCAGTAGTAGTAGCAGCAGTAGCAGCAGTTCAGCACCTCCACCACCAGCAGTAGTAGCAGCAGCAGCAGCAGTAGCAGTACCCAGCAGCAGCAGCAGTAAAAGCAGTAGTAGCAGCAGCAGCAGCAGCCACTAGCAGCGAGCAGCAAGCAGCAGCAGCAGAAGTATAGCTTGCTAGAGCACAGGCAGCAGTAGCAGTAGACCGCAGAGCAGCAGCAGTAGGTATAGGTAGCAGGCAGGCAGGCAGCAGTAGTGAGTAGAGCAGGGGGTGCAGCAGCAGGAGGGGCAGCAGCAGTAGTAGCAGTAGCAGGCAGCAGCAAAGTAGCAGTACAGCAGTAGCAGCAACAGGAACAGCACTAGGGAGCCGGCTAGCGGTGCCTCGCAGGCTCATCTGCGACTGTAACCATAACGTGTCAATTTTGCATACGCATTTAGCGCGCTAACAGATGAATATGGCAACACACGCCACGGCCACAAACACACCACACACACACACACACAGCCACACACACCACACCACAGCACGCACGCACGCACGCACACGACACGCTGTCACGCACACACAGCCACACACGCACGATGCACACACTGAACGCACACACACAGCGCGCGCACGCGCACCGCACGCACGCAACATACACACCACACATACACACGCACGGCACGCACGCACGCCCACGCACGCACACACACTGTCCACGCACACACACGCAGCGCACACACTGACACGCACACACGACACGCGGCGCCGCACGCACGCACATACACACACGCACATACACACGCACGCACCACGCACGCACACACACACACACACATCACACACAACACACGCACACGCACACACACACACACACACAACACACACACACACACAACACACGCACGGTCGCTCTTGTTGCACCTAAGGGAACACGACTTGTTGATAGGCGGCATTGATCCATCATTGTAGCTGGCCGGTGGCAAGGGGGTGAGCAGCAGAAGTGACGTACATATGACAGGGGCGTAAGCTACATGGCGCATACATATGGTTACGTCGATCTGTCACTCTTGACAATTATATACTCAACGGTTTCCGGTGGGCGCAAGAAAAAGAAAAATTAACAAATAAGAATTACATGACCAAAAATAAATAAAGTAAGGTAAAAAGATTAAAGAATAAAAATAAAACATCCATTTGCTTTTTGGTCATCTAGCATTTTGGTTCACGTCAGATAGGCTTCCGAGGGCTCTCCCGGTGCGTGTACTTAGGAGCAATAGTGGCTTTCATATCCCCAGCGACGAGCAAACACAGTTAACCACGGTCTCAAGGCTACACTCATGAACGAGTTCAAAGGGGGGTTCAGTTTTCCGCAGTTCAAACGGGTTTAAACAGCAACCAGTCTTTCCCCTAGCCCCCCTGCAGCGCCCCCCTTACACAACAAACACATGGGACTTGCGGCAAGTGCAGTCGTAACGAATGTCAAACTCGATCTTCTCCGAACCCAACGACATAATGACGAGATGACATATGTCTAGTCCGTGACTGCGGTGCGCGTGCACTGTCTGACATCACCGTCATATGCTGCCTACATCGGGCACACTTCAATACGATTCCATTGAGGGGTTAGTGCAAGGTAACACACACCAAGACTGAGTCCATAATATAAATTTTCTGATATGGACTCCTGATAACGCCATAACACCCGATTCGAGTCCCGTGCTATATACGTCATGGAACCACATTAATGTGGTTAGGGTTGGAGCTCCGCATAGGTTACAGTTAGGATTTAGTGTTAGGTTTAGCTTAGGGTTTGCCATAGGTTAGGGTTCGGGTTAAATTTCTGCCCATCTCTACGTATCACATTCCTTGCTAAAAAAAAATATCAGCGACCCTAACGCCACGCGCGAGTGAGGAAGCGAGCGACAAAGGCGAAACGAAACAGCAAAACACTTCACACTACCGCACTACACGCGGCAACAGGCAATATTCTAAGCAGCACGCACTCGGGCCATCCTTAAAAAATTATATGTTTGCTGTCCTCCGACCGACCCACGAAAATAGCCGCGACCCCAAAAATTTTTTTGACATTTTGTGTTGCATATATTTTTTTCCCCATTTTTCATAGTTAAGATTGAAACACAAAGCATGTGTGGAAAACATGAGGACAGACTTAAAATAACTATTATGCCTCACAAAAGAAAAAATGACCTACCTATACCTACCCACTAAAAAAATCATGGGTCGGGGGACAGCAAACATAGAACTTTTTACGGATGGCCGACGCCTAGAGTGACTGTTATAGTTACATCGTACACGCCCGCATGCTAGGGCCATAATAAAAATATTGTTTGTTTGCATCCACCCGACCGACCCGCCCTTTTTATTGATCTGTCCCATTCTTTTTTTTTACAAATTGTATCACTGTACAATATATAAATCTGTAGGCAATACATTATATGTACCAAGCAAAACAAACATTCAATATAAAAGGTATCTCCACACAAGCGCACCCGAGCATTGTAGACACCATGCTGAATTTGTAAAAAGACCCCCTCTCAAAAAAAGCCTACCTACCTACCCAAGCTTTTCAGCCTGGGTCGCGGGTGAGGGCAAACATAGATTTTTTTAATCGTGGCCTGGGTAGGTCGGCATCGCAGCGCTCGCTGTGTCACCGTCCCTGCAGTCACCCGTGTATTTGTTTAGCTGATGACATTCTTCGTTTGCTGACAGCACCCAGATTACTTCTCCTCTAGGCGCTGCTGCGCTATTTCGGGTGAATTCCGAGCAGCCGTCGAAGCGAAGCGCGCGCTATCTCTCGCTCTCTCAGGGGTCGACCCGGACTACTACTATATAGGTGAGAGAGTTCACTAAGCCTAATGTCCAAACAATAGCAGGTGAGAGGCGAGGTTCAGCGAACAGGTAGGTATAGGTATGCGCGCTACTGCAACGACACGCGGTCAAGCTGAAACGCTTGGTCGGAAATGAGGTAGCGAAGGAAAATAAAAGAATGAAATATCGAGCTATTACAGAGAGATACGAGAAGAAAAGAACCAAGGGGAATAAAAGATCGAACTATTTCTCAGAAATTAGCGAGTAAATGAATGTAATGAAAACTACTTAAACAGTTAAAAGTGGGAAATGGGGGAAACGAGTGAAAGAGATCCGGAATCGAGCACACCTGGCTGATCTACCGGTTAAACCTACGTACCTGCCATAAGGCCAAAACAAAATATAGGTGTGGTTACGGTTTCCCGACCGACCCTATTTATCCACAGCAAACCTTAAAATTTTATTGTCAATTTTTAAAAAAAATGAATTGGACAGTTTCCGTTCAAAAGGCAAACGCACATTCTTCAGACATGGTTCGTAAATAAAATATTTCAAGAAAATAAATGTTTTCCCTACCTACCTACCCTATTTTTCCCGGCATGTAACGGTAACCACACATATATTTTGTTTTGGCCTAATCTACATGGCTAACCTAGCCGCTGTTCTGACAGCGGCTGCACCTGTCGTTGACATCGGCGCCCCACAAGCCTATTGTAATCGCGCTTCTCACAACAGCAAACAGCTGGATCTCACGTCGTTTTTTACAACAGCAAGTGTTGGCGTGACCCGCGGCTCACTATTTCAAAACGGCAAGGCGGACGTCTTTCGTGCCTTTTTCCCTGCAGCAAGTGACTTCTCCCCTCCCAAGCGACGTCTTTCGGCGTTTTTCCACAGCAATGGATTCTACGCCTCCCAAGCGGCGTTTTCTTTCCCATAGTTTTTTCCACAGCAGTGGACTTCTTCCCCACCTTCCCAAGCGGACGCTTTCGGCGTTTTTTAGTCCTCCAGCAGAAGTTTAACTTTCCACCTCCACCAGCGGACGGTCTATTTCGGCTTTTTTTCCACAGCAAGTGGACTCTACCCCCTCCCAAAGCGGTACGTCTTTTCGCCTTTTTCCACAGCAGTGGACCTTCTTCCCCTCACCCAAGCGGACGTTCTCTCACCGCTTTTTTCCCAAACAGCAAAAGCGCGAACTTCTTCCTCCCACGCCAACTCTTTGACACCCCCCGCTGTCCTGAGGTAGTACGAGGCTTCCTCCCGCTGCTGCAATCGCATAATTATATGCGTTAGTCACCCGGACACGAGAAAAACTAAACTTAACCAACATCCAACACCCCGAACGATTAATCTTAGATGATCTAATTACCGACAAGATAACATATGAATTTATACGTTTTCCCTTAACGAAATCCAATAAACTTATTATCATTCTCACTGGACAGCACTTCGCGGTGTACACTCCCCAGTAGGTGCGTGGATTACCTTGGTAATGTCTCCGGTGGCCGTCCAGTACGCCACCGTGTGTTTGCCTTTGCACCATCGTCGCGACGGCGGTAACGAGCTCGTTAGCGAACACGACGTCCGGGTTCGCCGAGATGAGGTCGCGACCTTCGATCGCATAGTTCAGTCCGCTGCCGCACATCGCCTCCTCGATGTCCACCTGGTGGCGATGGACAACGGAAAGGAATTCAGCGAGCACGGCCCAACTTATTCTCGCAGCCCCCCCCCGCAGCAAACCACGTCCGACCCCACAGCAAAGGGGCGCAATGTTGTTCCGTTCGGCTAGTCGCTACAACGCCCCTCCTCGGCCGGCTGCACGGCCGATACATGATTTCACTGATTTGCCTTATACCAAGATATGTACGCTTTTTGTTCCTGCCCTTGACCACGAACTACCCTGAGCACGACGAACTACAACCACATAACGACACACGACTACAACCAACGACCCACGCGACTAAGCACAACGACCACAACTACAACCACCAACGACCACCACCGATACAAACAAACGACCAAACGACACCCAGCCACAACGACCCACCGACTACAGCACAACGACCCAATACACGCCCACACGACAAAACGACTACAGCAAACGACCCACGACCACGTCCCACCAACCGGACCACACACTCACACGCACACAACGCCACCAACTACCGCACAACCGACCACCGACTACACGCCACACAGACTCAATGAACTAAACCACAAGACACACGATACACGCCCCAACGACCCACACCCATACAGCCACACAGACCCACGCTACAAACAACCACGACCACGACTACAGCACCAACGACCACACGACTACAGCCACAACGACCACACGACTACAGCCACAACGACCACACGACTACAGCCACAACGACCACACGACTACAGCCACAACGACCACAATGCTGAGCAATGTATTCTCAAAGCGTAACTCAGAAGTTAATCAAACTAGTCAACATTGCTAACCTGTTTAACTTAACCACGCAAAGGCTTTTGATGTTCAACTCAACAATACCTCAATACAAGCTAGTTCAATCCTCTAATATTTACCCTCACAGTAATTAACCCAGTGTAAGCTTCTTACATTGAACTCGACACTTAAATCACCCTGTCAAATCCCATGATATGCAACATCGGCGGATAATAAACCCATCAAAAGCTTCCGACATTCAACCATAGTAAAACATCCTGATGCTTGACTTAACAGCTAATTAACTAATTAATTAATTAATAATCATAATCATTAAAATAAAACCTGGACTAGTATAGCCTTGTAAGGAACAAATGTTCCCAACTCAAGTACGCATCAATCATGCCAACCTTAATTGATCAACAACAACAACAAAAATATTAATTACTAGCTAATAATAAGATTAAGCGCCGACTTACGTCCGCTCGCGTGCAGCGAGACTGGCTTCCCACGAACCAGTGCAGCATCGCGCCTGCACCGAGGTAGCAGTCCTGCACTGCATCGTAGAATTTCTGCTCCACTTCCGCCAGTGAGAACACGCACACGGCCGAGCCGTATTGTGGCGCCACCACCGCGCTGCCCTGCTCGCTCCGCGCAAACACAATCGTCAAGATGGCGTCTCCTGCAATAGCGACAATTGTGAATCTGTTATACACTATACCGCTACTCTATTTCAGGAGTCGAAATTAGCTATATATAGTGCATATTGCGCAACACAAGTGATTTTCACCGAACGCAAGCTATGTTTCGTAGCAACTTGCGGCTGCCGCAAGTCAACAATATGCCAGCTACTTAAATGTATTTAGAAGTCAGACCCATTTTATTTTGATTTCTGTACGAAACTGAAGCGTAAATG